AGTGCATGGGTTCAATTTCTTTTTAAAGGTAGTTCCTCAGTACAAGAGATCTCTGGGCATCAGTGTTCTGAAGTCAAAACAGATGGGACAAACAACATGCAATACACTTGTGCTTAGGTGTTGTATATCTTCCCTTTTTTTTTTTTTTAATAGTTGAAGACTCTCCCACTATCTCGTTTATTTGCTGTCACCTCCTATCACTTCCCAAAATAAAAAGGTCCTGAAAAGTAGAAGTTAGGTAAATTAGGCTTTCTTTTAGGTGGGCTGAGGGTATCATTGTGGATTGGAAAGGCACCCTTGGAGAAAGAAAATATTCAGTACTTGCCTAGTGTGTTGTTTTTTTTTCCCCCCAATAGTCTTAAAGGGATTGCGTGTTTCTCATAATTCATTGGTGTTGATGCATATAGAATGTCTAACTTATGGTTGTAAAAGCTGAAGAGTTGGGGTTCTATTCAAAGCAAGCTCCTCATCCTACCTAGAGCAAGACTTGTATTTTGAGAGGATCTTAGCTTAGTTATGACAATAACTGAGGCAGTTTCTATTTATGAATCAGTATTTTGCACTTGGATGCCTCCACCGTGGTGGAAATACAATCATAAAAATGGTAGTCCAAACATACAAAAATACAAACATAGAAATGGTAGTCCTTACTCTAGTGGGCTAACATTTTAAGCAGTAGGTAGATTGGTCATATTGTTGTACATGGGGTTTTACATGCTTGTTTATGTGAGTGTCATGCAGATGGAAATATATGAATAAATGAAAAATAGGCACTTGTAGAGGACAAATTTGTTTATTTTATTGCAATTCCAACTGTGTACATGTAATTTGCCTTACTATGGAAAGCAGCTACATAGTAGTTATGTAGATCCAGATTGATAATAATGTAGCAGAAAAGACCTTATAGGTGTTTTTCTTCTCTGGATATGCATATGTGTGTGTGTATAGATTGATAGATAAAAATGTTTGGGTTAATTTAGGAAAAGTTCCTGAAAATCCTTTTTAAAGAATGGATGAAAGGGATGCTTAAGGGAGTTGTATTAGTGATGGGAACCTCTTGATGTAAAATGAGCTTTGTTGTAAGTATGATTGAACAGTGCTTTGCTTTTCACACTCCTAATATGTGTGTTGCTTGCCTGCTAACCATGGCTAAAAGGCATGAAGTCACAGGCAACTATTAAAACGTTTAGATTCCTAGCTTGTAAATATTGCATTTCTCACAGAATTGGAGTGAAATCCAGTCTTATGTTTCTTGTTCATCCACTTCATATCCATTGGGATGCAGCATTTGTGAAAGAATCAATTATCCATTTGTTAGTCAGAGGAGCTTTACAAATTATACATTAGCAAATTGATTTCTGAGGTTCACCATTGGGGGACTGATAGTATAAGGTGGGTTGATGATGAGTGTCGGGGGAGAAGGAGTTGCCACAAAGAACACAATTAAAAGAAGCTTTCTGAGTGGCCGTGAATTTACTCCTAATTGAAGAGCTGACATAATCCATACTAAGTGCGTTTATTTCAAGCATTTTACATTAGGTAATTGATTATCACATGAGGTACATTTGTTGGTAGATACTTGATTTTCCTGTCCTTCAAATTTAGGATTTTGCAAATGCCTGCATTTAGATCTTTATGTGCAAGGTTCCTGCTAGCTTTTTCTCCCTCTCCCTAAAATTTTCTTTCTTCCATTAAGGTAACATTTTTTTTGTTCTATCGTGTCAGCTTGACATTATTGATTTTGAACAGTCAAACTTACTTAGGTTGTCCAGAATTCCAAACATGTCTCCATCAGAAAGAAAACTGCAGCTAATGGAAATTCAGCTGAAGACGTTTCTTCCTTCTTTGCCAGAACTTCCACACTGTATGAAATTGTGAAACTGTTCCCAGGTTAATCATTTCAGTGTATTTCCCTTCCTAACAGGATCCTCCTTATTGCCAGATTTAAATTATGTTGCTTTAGAAATACTATGTGTGGTGTTGTTATAACAGTGCTTGAAGTATCGTTGTGACCCCAAAGAAGCTGTGTGTTTTTACATGCAGCTGCCTGTGGTTTTTTGGAATGGGGTTTAAGATTATATCATCTTTTAATTGAGTAATGTTTACATGGATTATATGTTCCTAATTTTTAGATTGACACTTTGTCCTCAGATTGCTGTTGTAATTCTTAACTTGTAATTTATTTATTTTTTTTTAATATGATGCCTGTAAACTTGGACAGTGTTTTTTCCCCACCCATTTACAATACCTTTAAAATAGTCAACTGACCAAACCCCAGAGCACATCTGGGTTCTGGCTATATCAAATTATTAGTCCTCCAGATTGTGATGAGTTAGTGACTACCTGTGTCCTCTCTAACCTTGAGTGATTTGTCATCTTTTGGTGACCTGTAAAGGTGGATGTTGCAGGAAGGGTATTTATTCTCTGTACTGTAAAAACCAAAAACCGGTTTTCTTTTGCCAGGCAAATTAAACTCCTCAGTGGGTTAGCCGGAATAAGGTTTGGAAAAAAAACACAAGGGAAAGACAATTGTAAGGCTGTGACTGAGCTGATAATGTTTAATAAAAATAAAAAATAAAAGCAGGGTGAGGGAGGGTAACCCACAAAATTATCTGTGCTCCTCTTTTCTGAAATACCAGAATTATCCACAGAGTGTTGGCAAAGTTATAAATACGACAAAATTTGAAACGGTAAGTAACTTTGACTGGCACAGCAGTATATTTATTAAAAATAATTGATATGAAAAGATGTAGGTGCTGGAGAGATGAGAAGAACATGGCAATTGAACACTGTACCTTAGTGTATAACCCTGTGTCAAGATGGGGTAATTCAGATGAACTTTTTGCCTTTCCAATTGTAGAGTAATAAAAGGAGAGAAAAACCTTTGTGAGAAAGTTACCACAATGGCAACTTAGATGCCGGCCAGAACAAAAAAACCATGCCACTTCCATGATGAACTCAGTTGAAGTCTCTGTGCTTGGCCTTTCGGAAGGCCTGAGTTGTTTCTCATTGTAGAGGGAATGGTAGAGACGTGCTGGCATTTTTTTTTTTTTTTATTTCCCCCTAGACAGAGGCAAAATCTTCTCTTGCACCTTGATGAACAAAACAGAAGTTTAGAAGGGCATTTTCAAGGGAAGTTTAGAAGGGCGTTTTCAAGGGAAGGCAGGAATAAAAGTGTGTGCTAGCAATTTTTATGAAGCTTCTAGAAGGTGAGACTGACAACTGACATGTCTTGCCTTACTCATCATCCTCAATTCCTGGAATTGGCCAACTGTATGTGTAACATCAGAGAATCAGAGCTTTCACAAAGGTGTTGACCATACCAGCAGGCTGATGGGCTTGAGCCGTGCTCCTCCGCTGACACCCCCAAAACGTGTTGGGAGGAACGCAGCCAGGGGCTGTGCACCAGCTGCCTGCACTGCCAGCGTAACCGCTCTGTGGCAAATTAAAATACTGCTGGAGCACATCAGTCAAGGAAAATTAGTTCGACTTCTTCCTCGGCAGTGCACTTTTTGGCAGACAACGCGCAGTGGAAAGACTGCTTCGTGATAGGCAATAATTGTGGTACTTCCAGGTAGCATTTTGTGGTGACAGAAAGTGAGACCAAGAGCGGTGTCTCCTGCATGCAAGGAAGTGGGAAAGCAAAAGGACTGGCAGCATCCTTTTTCCAACTCATCAGGCGACTCTTATAGTGCAGGGCTCAGTTGTTCAACCTTGATTAGAAACAAGCTTCTAGAAAATGAAATGTGATTTGGGCATATATTCTTTTCATGGTGGAAGAGAGAAAAACTTCATTTCCCTGAGTTGGAATTTTTTTGTGTGTGAAAGATTATGGGGAAAAGTTTTCCAAAGGCTGTGAGAAGACCTGTTTATCTCCTGTAGATAGTCCATCTGGACAGTGTGTTTTTATATAACTTTTTGTAATGTACTTTTTATGTAATTCCAACTGCCATAGGGTATATAAGGACCTGTGATATTTTAGACGCAGTTGTGTAACATCTGATGTCACCCCACGACTCCAGCGCTATTCCAGTGACACTTTCTTTTCACACAAACATACTATGGATTTCTCTTTTACTATGCTCAGAAACACAGAAGTGACCTGTTTTGTGGTTTAATCCGTTCAAAATTTTATGAGAGTAAGAAAAGTTGTTCTTAAAAGAGACTTACTTGGGTGAAGATCCTTCAATGATGCTTGAAATGATGCGATATTTGTTACAGAGGGTGAAATCAGGATCATGGTACATAAGAAGGTTCTTGTTACTTGAGTATAATTGGATGGGTTTTAGTATGCGAGAGGATATGCATCACGTTACCCAAATGATGTTATAAGTTAGTCCTCAATACTTAAGGGTAGATGTTTAAGCTAAAATAGACAGTAACAGATACCAAATAACACTGTAGCTTAGAACCAAAAGTATATCTGGATAGGGAAGGCAGTTTTCAGGCTTTTCTCAGTATTTGTCTCAGAATAAGTACACCTATATTGCACTTCAATACCTTGTAATACTCATTTCTGAGAACACTATCAGAGGCAAAAATGAAAGCAAGAGAAAGGGATTTGAAGGAAGAAACAATTGCCATTATAGCCATCAGAACAAACCAGAAGAATTTTCAGTTGTTTGATGCCTTTGTGGTCAGTGTGTTTTATGCTATTTGTGAGTGGGAAAAGCTCTTAACAAACAGCTGTGGTGCGCAGGCACAGATGCTCAAGTTCTGGGAGCCTGGTGCTTCATGAGCATTCCAGAGCCCTGAGACGCGTAACTGCAAAAAATGTCAAATTTCTGGGTTAGGCAAAAGGTTGGAAAGAAGGCTGTCCTTTGGCATTGTCATAGGAATACCTATTCTGTGGGGGTTTTTTGATTCATGCAACTAAACGTTACACAACCATTAACACATAAATCTCAGGAAGTGTGGAGATTGTTAAAGCATGTGACTAGTGATATAACTTTAACGTCAACTTTAAAACTTTTTTCTTTCTTTTATTTTTTTTTTTCTAGAGCCCAGTGAAGATTAATCAGATCAGCCTGGATGAAAGTGGAGAATACATGGGTGTTTGCTCAGAAGATGGCAAGGTACAACAAACCCATTTATATATTTAATAAGGTAGCAAGTAGTCCTCAGTATTACACTTGAGATAATTGTGATACCTGTGGAGTTAGTTCCTGTGTTTAGCACCACCACTTTGACCATCCATTTTGAGAACTGAGCTCACCTTTGAATACTCAAAATTAAAGTCAAATATATTTTGCACAAATGTGCCGTAGGAAAAGTAATTACAAGAATGTCAATAATGTAACTGGTATTAAGCTGATTAACAGCTGTGGCAGGAGGACATGTCACCTTAATCATTACTGCTGTGCCAGTTATACTTCAGTGACTATTCTGCTGTTCCTGCAAGACAGTAGTTTAATGCCTTTCTGCTATAAATCCACAAAATTGGATTTTGTGGGCATGATTTCTGTGGGCTGGTGGTTTTCATTTTCACACATGTTATGAATGTTTCTCTTGAATTATAGAATCTTTTGATAAGCAATCATAGTTTATCAGAAGAATAAAGTGTCTTACAACAGCCACATTAAATAAATGTAAAATCAATATATGTACAGTTTCCTAAAAAACTGGCACCTACTTCCTTGACTGAGGACATATATCATTTGTGCAGTGTATAACTAACAATTATCAGTGCTTCTCTGGAATGTTGAGCTGTGACATTTAGTGGTTTTGGTGATTGATTTTCCACTTAGAAGAATGTCTTTTTTGTTTTTAAGTCGATGGCAGTCTTTTCTAATGTTGGTTTGCAATGATAAAATTCTAATGCACTGGGTGTACTTAAGCTTCTTTTTTAATATAATGCTCATATACAAATGCAGTGCATTAAAAATCATTTAAATCATATCTCAATATCCATCTAACTTACTGAGGAGAACATTTCTTACAGAGTAGACTTGGGGGGAGGAGGAGTGTCAGTGATGCTAATGCATGCATCCCATTCAGCAGAAGTTCTATAAATTAAAAAAAAAATTGGATTTTGCAGTAGGCAAAACGGGGAAACAACTCCGTTAGACTGTATGGGCTTGGGTTTTTTCCTTCCAAATAGGTGGGTTTTTTTTTCTCAACAGGCAGGCAGGCAGCCAGTTTATGTATCCTTTTGTTTCTTGGAGATATCTTGATGTCAGTATCTTGACACAGTAATTGGGATGCTAGTGCCTATCAAAGTGGGTTGTAGAATTTTACAGCTTGTGAGAAACACAGCAAGAGTGTCCTAATTGTCTAAGCAAGATAAGGGAAGGGTCAGTAATTGTGCAAGGTAATAAAAATGTTGAGCTAGCATTGTTTAGGTGTTGGTTTTGAATGTTGGTGGGAAGCAATTGCTGTAAGGGCTTCTCATATGTGACTGTGGATTGTTGACTTGAAATATGTATGTTGCGGTGAGACTACAAGCCATGCATATTCTTCATATGTTAAATTAATATTAAAAATACGTATTTGATTTCATAAATGTTCAAAAGTCCTTAATCCCTACTCTGGTGTGGCTATATTTGAAAAGACTCCAATACTTTCAATGGTGACTGTCTTCAGTTAGTGAGATAGCCAGTAGGTGACATTAAATGCTATACAAGGCAGCCTAAACTATGGTCCCCAAGTCACGGCTAATTCTGGCAGTGTTTTTCACGCAGGACTGGGGTATCACAAGTACAATATTCATCATATTTGCATTCACAGAGTCCAGGGACATTGATGCTTCACCATATTCTACACTGAAAAGCTCACCTGGAGATTTGAAAGATCTGGGTGTTTCAGAAGTTAGACTTTCTACTTGACCCAGAAAGGTGTGTCTCTATGAAAGAATCGACCCCTAAAATGGGTGAAAACACATACTTGTATGTTGTGCTACTGTATAAGAAAATGGCAGGAATTCCTGGCCAGATAATGTAGCACTTCTGGGTTCTGGGTCATAACAAAAGTGTAACTTTACAATACTTAATAGCTCTTTCCTTATTACAGTGGGAGTGTTCATATTGTAACAAGTTAAAGACTTGTACAAGTGGTTGCAAAGTCATCATTAGCTCAGATAAATAAGTAAAAATAGTGAAACCCTTTTTTAAAAAAGAATAAAAGGAAAAGTTAAACAGCTTAGTTTTCTTAAACCAGCTTTAAACAAGAATGGGATATAATAAAAAGACCTGTGAATTTTGAGCCAGCTAGGTTGATACAAGTATTTTGTACCAATTAATAAAGATACATCCTCTAGACCACTGCAAAAGAGTTTTGCAATAGGCAGGAAGTGCATTTTCCCATATCAAAGTGGATCCAATATGAGGGAGATGGAAACAATTTGTCTTCTTGAAGGAAGGCCTTATGATGACAACCCCCTCCTCATATCTGTTCTGCTGTCTGATGTATTTTACTACTATTTTCATTCTTTTACCGCTCTCAGACTAGATTTGGACTAGCTATGCTGACTGGGAGGGGGGCATAGCAGCACAGTGCAATTCTCTAACCCTCCTCTTGCTGGGTGGCATCCAGACCTAATGTCAAAACCTGGCACCTGTATGTCATACATGGCCAACAAGTGCTTTGGGAGCCGCTTGCAGCTTTTCTGTACTGCACGTTTGCCTTATTGAAAATCCTCCTTGCTAATGGACTCCACTGCAGCTGGTCACCACTGGCATGGCAAGGAGCAGAAATCGAAACCACTACCACTCTAGTCTGGCCACTGTCTGGGGAAAATGTCTGGGTATTGAAATATTAGGATATAAGAGGAGAATTTTGGTGCTGGAATAAATAGAAGGGGAAGCAGACTTGCAGCTTCACAATTGTGGAGTTTTTTTATGTCACATTTTTGCCTACTTGTATCCTGTCTTGAAAAACCTGGATCTGATTCCCACTTTTGCTAAAGCTCTCTTATGTCATTATATAACAGAGATATAATTTGCACCCTTATTGGCTTGTCACTTTTTTCATATGAAGAAATAGAAATTATATTGAAAACCTATGTGGTCTACCTGTTTTAGTGTAATATTTAATACCCGTAACAACATTTATGTTAAGAATATCCATGAAGTATTACATTCATCATTTTTCACGAAACGTGGCTTATAGATAAAATGTGTTTGTTTTCCTGCCTTTTGATCACTGAAGGTTGGCTGCTTCTTCCACATGCAGAAGCAAAGAAACAGCTAAATCTGGATGTACTGGAGTAGTGGGTTCTGAATATTTAAAATTGGACAGGACTGGCAAAATGTAGTGGACTCTCATCACGAAATCCTTTTTCCAGCTACCCCAAAAAATCATGAGTTGAGTGGGGATAGAAAGTAGAAATGGAGAAATCCAATATAGGTTTGTAATATCAAAAGAATCACTTTCTCTCTGAAGAATAAGAGACATTAAGAAGTAATAAACTGTTATACAGTGTCCCTAGAGTAAACATGATAACATGTATTTTATGCTGAGTTGTTTTTTCCTCTTTAGTTAACTGGCTCCGTTTTGTTCTCATACACTTAAAGGAATATCACAGTGCAGTGTTCAATGCAGTATTATGAAAACACTGAAAGCACTGTTGCTAATGTTAATTTTGATTAATTAGTTTTAACCTGAGAGAGGTGTTATGTCTTTTTTGAGGATTCTGCTTCCATGGAATTTGCAGTGTCGTGGTTTAACCACGTCTATTCTCTTGCTTCCTCCTTTCTTCTCTCTGTCTTATTTTCTCTTTCCTCTGTTTCTAATGTTTAGTCTGTTGCATTGGATATGCTGTGCCAACTGATGAAAACAGAAACCCAGAAAACAAAATCCTCTAGACATCAGCCCAAAGGTTTTCTAGGCTTACAGCCAGGCCCAACTCAAATGCAACCCTTTGGTTGGCTTACATAATCACAGCTTTGCGATATATCTCACTGTCTCCAAATATTGATTTTCCAATCCTTTGGAGCAATAGCTCTGCCCTACACAGTGCATGCAGCAGTATTTTTAAAACATGTTGTTAGAGGCAGTATATTCACTAATGAGTAATGTACAGAGCTGATAATGCTGCTTAGGTGTATCGAGGAGACAAGCTTGAAGGGAGATGAGGTGGTTTGAGATGTTTTCAACTTCACTGAGACTGCTGAACTTCAAGCCGCTCTGAGGATAGCTTAGTTCCTCGCTGTTGGCTTAGTTCCTCCTGTAGTTTACCTGAAGTCTAATTTATTTACTCTGTCTCCTTGACTATCTGCAGGAAATTTGGGGGTTCTTGTCCTCTGAACTGATCTTTTGAGAGCCATTAAGCCTCATTTTTTGTGGCCTGTTACTGGTATTTACTGGCTTTGTTCTGCAGATCTTTGTCTAGTGGATTTATTATTTTTTGTTACTACTATGTTTTGGTTTTCCCTCTAAAGGAATCATGATGAGGATGAGGAGAGAGAGAAATAAGGTTAAAAGATCACTTAGATCTTTGAGTCTAACTTGATGAACACGCAGAGCAGAGTTACTGAAGGGGTTACCTTTTTCAGAAAATAAAGACAAGTGACTAAACCTGTCTGAGAACCTTCTAAAGTAGATATGCTGTCAGATGCAGTTTTTCAGTGATCGCTCCATGGAATGCTCCTTTTTTATTTCCTCCTTCCACCAGCAGTGTCCATCCCTGCTGGGATGATTTTCTTCCAACAGCTTCTGGCAGAGGGTGGAAACCTCTTAAAATCATAATGAAAAAGCAAACCAGTTATTATTCTTTGTGGAAATCATAATTAGTGAATCAATTACTAATTCCTGGCCATAAGTCTTCAGCTCTATTATGCTCCTAAGTTCTGCAGGAACTGAATTGTCAACTGTCTCATCTGAGAACTGGGGAAGGGAATGTTGCATGTTGGATGAAAAGACGAGTCCAAAAGAGGGTTGTACTTACGAAAAGCTTGAGAAAACCTATTTTGTAGTCATAGCATCTAAGTCTAATAATATCTCTTAATACTTGATACCTCTGTAATTGTTCTGTAAGTAAAGGGAAGTAAACTTTTTAAAATCTGTTAATTCTCTTGACAGTAGAAACATGCTTTTGGTTTTATTTTTAGTTTCGGGGTTTTTTTTAATGTTGACCGTTCTTCAGATGGATTAATTCTGATAGATATTCTGATGGCCTATGGTTACAGCTTCAGTACTGACTGTGAAATGTACTGAGACATCAACACAGATGAGAAGGGAGGAATCTTCAGAGACAGACATTTCCAGTGGTCTTGGAATAAAACAAAATAGCGCTGAATGCACTTGGGAGGAGGAGAGGATGCCAAGAAACTTATAGGACTTGTTTTTCAGGCTGGTTTTGCTTTATTGTCACAAATTTCTTACATAAACCCTGTATTGCTGGAAGGGGAAAAAATCCTACAGTTCTTTCTTAGAAAGGAAGTGTTTTTAATTTATCTTCGCCTGAATGTATTATGTTGCTCTTACTTTACTTAGATCAGTATCTATTAAACAGATTTGATAAGCCTAAAGCAAAAGGAACTTGTAGTTTTTGCTGTGTTTATCACAAAAAAAAAGATTCAAATAAGTACTTTTGTACTGCTGCAAATATTTAGAGATACACCGTAATAGAAGCCCAAGATGTCTCAATTAACTCTGAATTGTTATATATTACTTATTTCTTTTTCTTTAGGAAATAAAATGTAACTGTTAGCACTTAAATTAATCTTCTAGTTGTTAGTGATTTACATTTAATTGTCAAGTGGTTATTAGATAAATATTTTTGGGTTTTTTTATATACTTCTTCAGGTGCAGGTGTTTGGATTGTATTCAGCGGAAGAGTTCCATGAAACGTTTGACTGTCCTATTAAAGTAAGTGCTTGTTTTAATCTTTAGTAATTGTGTTGTTGTTGTCTTTAATAACAGAAAGGTCACATTGAATCTAAATGAGAGGGAGGAATACCGCTTCCTTATAATGTTATTCAAGTCACTAGAAAATAGGTATCTATCTCAATATAAAAGCTTTTGATCTGGTTAGGCAGGAGGAAAGCCGATCTTGGTTTTGTAAGAAGTATTTTATTGAGTTTTTCAAATAGAAAAGGCAAAGTGAAAGAGAAATTGTCCTGTTTTGGCTGTTACCTGTCTCAACATATTTCTTTCTTTGTAGATCTGTGATACAAATTCTGAGGGTTCTGCTAACTATGAGGTCAATATTTTGCAACCAATCCTTATCTGTTAAGCCTACCTTAGGATAAGGCAATGGGTGCTGATGCTGGTATACCCTGAACTTCATAATTGAGGTTACTCTTCTTGAGAGACGTGTGGCTGCCTGGCTGTTGAAAAAGCATTTCTAAGTAGGCATATGGGAAGATCTAGCTTTTTTTAACAAGAAAGATTTCTTGCAGGAGGAAAGGTGATGTAGGCAAATGGTTGCATTTTGCTGCTAGGGGTCTTCCATGTTGCAGCTGCTCTTGGGGAGGGAAAAAGGAATGAGGTCATTAAGTTTTCACACACATCAGATGTGACTCATGTGCCTCGTAGGGCTTTACTGCTCTTACAGCTGGATCTCCCACATTTGACATGTAACGCGTAAGGCAAAGAGGCTGTTTAAGGTGCGTTGGTGCTACATGAGTTTGTCCTGTGACAGGGCTGAGGTGCGTGTGCTCTCTAGGCAGACCCCAAACAAGACTTAATTGGGGTAACCCTTGCTTGTGGCAGTTCAGTGCTGCACAGTCCTAATTCTGCTGCCTGCTGTGCAAAAACGTAGTTGTTTGGTGTAACGTGGCCCTCGGTGTCAGGCGTGTGACTTGTCACATGTCATATAATACGGAGAATTTTCTACTTTTCTAGGAAAAACAAATGTACATGTCTGAAACAACTAGGCTGTACTTCAGAGAAAGAACTTGGCTGTAATATTTGATACATGGCAAAGGGTTATCTAGTTTAAAGGTGCTCCTTGTAAACTCTTACTTAAGCCACAATACTCTCCTTTTTTTTTTCTTCTTCTTCTTGTCCCCGACCCCCCTCCCCAGATTGTTGCTGTTCATCCTCATTTTGTAAGATCTCACTTCAAGCAATTTGTAACAGGAGGGAAAAAGGTAAGCAGTCATAGTGTAATGAATATAGGCTATCTTTAAGCAGTTTTTTAAAATAGCTCGGAAGGCTGTGTTTGTGATTTTTAACACCTAGAGCAATGGATTCTGCTTTTTCCTTCTCTTCATGCCTTGTATTCCAAAACATTCTTTCTTAATTAAGACTAATTCCAGGGTGGGTGGTAGAAAGTGTACTTTTTATGTTAAAAACATGTTGCAACAAGTTGAGCTTCAGAGTAGAAATACTTCTGTCTACATAGACTGAAAAAAATGTCATTTGCATTTCCTAGGCCAATGTTTCTCCATTCATTTTAATTTGTTGAAGTGGGAGCTGAAGTTAGACCTTAATACTGATCTTTTACAATGCATGCTGGTTTTGGTGCTTGGGATTTTTCTTCTGCTTTACCTGTGGGTGGTTTTTGTTTTGTTTAAAGTAAACAAACCCAAGTGTATTCATCAGTTCCTGTTCATGTGTGGGATTTTTTGTTTTTAAAGTAATTCAGGGGAGCTCTTGGTACAGTAGAGCTCCCACTTTAAGTACTTGTATCTGTGTAGTTAAAGTCTTCTACTTAGGGCAGTTGTTATTTTAAATGTGCATTTGGTGTCTTATTGGCATAGGGTGCAATTCTGACTTCCAGATTACAGCTGTTTCCAGGTCCTAAAAGTATTTTGTATCACATTTTTACTCAAAATATGGAAAGTTTGCTTTGGAACAGTTTCTTGAATTCATGGAATTTTCCTGTTGCCTTCTCTTATGAATTAAGGATGAACAATCCTCACTTACAGATGCATCAAACCAAATGCCATGGGCTCTCCCTTACCAGCATATAAGAAATACAGACTTCTAGTGCTGAACACAACTTAATTTTCATTAACAGTTCGATATATTTCAAAGCATAGCTGTGTTTTATTTTGCTTTTTAAATGGCATGTATGCTTGACAGATTTTTCTGGCTGGTCGGCATTGCTGTTGTCCTTAAAATAATGCACAGTCAAGTGTATCTCTTTGTCAGCCACCAGTTTGTGAAGCTTTTTAGTGCTGATAAAAGTGGTATGGAAAGAGAGAAGCAGGGAATTAATAGAACAGGGTTCTGTCAGGTGGTAAAAGAGCTTGCATTCACCTGATACTGAACAGAAAAAAACATCAGGGAGTTAACACATTCTCTTTGGTTATCTTTGATTACTTGACAGGTTGTTTTATATTCTATCCTCTGGGGAATGGTATACTCATTCTTAATGCATTCATTTTTTGCTGAGGAACTTTCCTCTTCAGGAAAACTTTAATTGACATCTTAACACAAGGTATTTAGCATTGAAATAAATGTCCCTCGATGCCTGTAATTTGATTTTATTGATACATAAAACCAACAAATAGAGCCTCTTAGCCTTGTGGTAGAAACCCTTCCCCTTTTCTCCTCTCCTCCAAAAGGAGTGTGTGCTCGTATAACAGCAGCAACAAAATGCTCTATGAAAATTCAGAAAGTTAAATTCCACCTACTTGCTTATTGAAGGTGTTTTTTTATTTTCTGAAAAGAAAAAGCCCTTGGAAAACATTGCTGCTTTTTATTTACATCTCTTCTCAAGTGTAAAGCCAGAGAGCTGCACGGGCGCAGCAGGAGAGTTAGTCCACAAGAGTGAGGAGAAGGAGGCTGAAGCATACCACCCGGGCTGTGGACCTCGCATCTCTCGCCCTGAGGCTGGAGGTTGTGTAGTTGGGTGAGCCGCTTCAGGGAGGGGGATGGGATCTCCTGTTGCTTCTGAGGTCTCTGCACTTTTAGCCTTTGCATGGACACAGAGACGTTGTAGCTGATAGCTGGCAGCGGTGGCAGGCATGCTGCCTGTCTTCCCCATCCGTACCAAGGTAGGGATAGCAGTTAGGACAGAGGTAATGCTATCCTCATTTTGGATCAAGCTTAAGAGAAAAGCTTTGCTTAAGGCCCTCATGCGATGTTCCTTGCCTGAGCTGCATTCAAAAACATAATGTGAAGTGTGTGAGCTCTCTGCCCAAAGGGTTGCAGGGTCTATCTTTTTTTTATTGTTCTGGGAGATGATGACATGATGTATATTAGCATTTTAAATGTTGGGAGGGTTAAAAATTATTTGCTAAGATAATTTGAGCAGATAAAAAGACCCAGAAAGACATTTGGTCACTTCCTCAAACCGCTCAGTTGCATTACACACATTGTTGTCTCAATATGAGAAGTATGTTCTTGATTTTCGACTTGAATTTCATGCTGATTTTTGTTTACACTGAAACAATATAAAAAAAGCCAAACCACATGTGCCTGCAGAAAGCAAGAACTTGCCCCCTTGAGCTTAACACTCTGTTTTGTCTCATCTCAGAAAAACACTTTAATATTTGCTTACATTTCTTAATTTTATAGTGAAGCATCTGCCTCAGTAGGATCCTTAATGAATGAGGTAAGGGGGTTATAACTGTAAATAACGACTGCCTTAATTTTTTGAGAAATATACAGTGTTTCATAACAATATAAAATGTATTAAAAATACACTTCTCAGTTCAAAGACCCACTGCAGAGCATTCTGCAAATGTTCAAGGTGAGCAACAATCTCCTTAAAATAAATAAATAAGAAGGGGGGGGGGAAGCTCAGGGATGCGCTTCAGGGATGCGTGGTGCAGGTTCTCAGTTCCCAATACAGGTGGATGTTTGGAACTTGGGTGAATTTTTGTGTGATGCTGAGATTTGCCACATCTTAGGAGCTCAGCATGACCTAAAGCTGACTTAAGAGCAGTGCTTCCTGGGGTAACTGTTTAAAATCATTGCAGATTGTTGGAAGCTTAACACTACCGCGCATATGTTTACACAGTTGCGTATATATAGGCATATATATATAGGCCTATACTAGAGTCCTTTAAGAGCAGTTTTTCTCTAAATAGTATTGTGAACTAATTAATCAGTTTAAATTTTTTGATTACTAAAGTACCAGTTTTTAAAAGTAAAGAACTTTCATTAAGCTTGGGATAATATCATTGCCACCTTTTTTGGGCTGGAAAAGCTCTTTTTTCCCGCCCACTTTTTTAATGAATGAACGTTATCTGTGCCTAGAAATAAGGCAGGTGCTGTGGAAATGTTGACAGGATTGTGGTGAGAAGCAATAGGTACCAAACAAAATAGGGGTGCATCCCTGCTCCCCTCCCCCTTATTTATGCAATTAACTACAGCACCATTGTGATGACTTGGCAGATGATGGTAACCCTGAAATAATAATACTGTATATTGTAAATAATAG